CACCCACCCCACCCCCGATATCTCTATTTTATCAAAACTCTCGCTCGCTCCTGTCCTTCATTCGTTCTGTCTCCACCTTTTCACAGCAGTTTTTGCTCATGGTCTATCAAGGGATACAGCCAACATTATTTATTTATTAATGATTTCTTTCAAATACGTTTACCCTGCCTTTCTCCTCGAAAGGACCCAAACTACAGGCTGAAATCAAATATAGTATTGTTATTTTTTAAAGGACTACCTTTTTTAAAAAAGGAAGTGTTGCTAACTGCTCACAGTAAGAAAATATGTAACTACATTTTGCAGGAAAATGTCGGGAAAGGGAAGTAAACCATATGAAGCCCAACCCACCCACCCCCCAAGTCTTCCCCACAGCAGGCTGGTATGTGTAGGTAGCGCTGCCTTGACTCTTTCCAAACCAGGGTTGGGGGGCGTTTTCCTGTTCTTCTGGTGGTTTTGGGGGTTCAGCTCTTAGAGAGCATAGCCAACGAGAAGGTGTCATGGAAGTTGAAGTCTAGAAGAGTGGTCCCCAACCTTGGGCCTCCAGACGTTCTTGGACTTCAACTCCCAGAAATCCTGGCCAGCAGAGGTGGTGGTGAAGGCTTCTGGGATCTGTAGTCCAAGAACATCCGGAGGCCCAAGGTTGGGGACCACTGGTCTAGAACATCAAGTTTAAAGCTTCCTCTACACCTGACTTAGAAAAGAGCCACAAAGTCGGGCGTGGGATGTAAACACTGCCACCCCACCCCCAGCAAATACCTCTCTTCTTAACCTTAAGCATGGTTTTGCAAGAACATTCACCAGGGACCCTTTTTAACCTGAGTTTACACAAAGCAGCTGCAGCAATCGTGCTTAAAAAGCTTATCTCGGGTTAAGGTTAGAGCTAGTACAAATATTGTGGCTAAAGGTGCCCCACATTTCCTCATCCCAACTAGAGGACAGTGATCGATCAGCTCAACTGCAGAATGGTACGTTAACACAGGTAAATCCCATTAATTCAGGGAGTCTAGCCACAGGATTTGGCCACCTTAAGAAGAAAGAGAGGATTCACATTGGAAAGAGAAGATGGAGCCAAGAGGAGATTCTCAAAGCCAGTGGATCCCAATCTTGGGTTGCCGGATGTTCTTGGACTACAACTCCCAGAAATCCTGGCCAGCACAGCTAGTGGGGAAGGCTTCTGGGAGGTTTAGTCCAAGAACATCCGGGGACGCAAGGTTGGGAACCCATGTTCTAAGCCAGTGGTTCTTAACCTTTGCTACTCGGATGCTTTTGAACTGCAACTCCCAGAAACCCCAGTCAGGACAGCTGGCGGTGAAGGCTTCTGGGAGTTGCAGTCCAAAACTCCCGAGTAACCCAAGGTTAAGAACCAGTGTTCTAAGCCAACGAAACTGCCTTTGCCATGGCACACGAGAAGGCTATGGACAGAAATGAGAACCTAACTCTATTGGTTACAGATCAAATACAATTTTGCTGTATAAAGCACTTCAAAAGTCAAGTAGTGATACACAAAAGGCCCACAGTGGGGAGGGAACGTGGGGGGAGGGAAGAACCAATACCACTTTATTATTCACATATTGCATTACAAATGTTTCTTTTTCTCAAACTAAAAAGTATAATTTATAGGTATAGAAATTCAAAAAGAAAAAAACACACACCACCAGATATTAATTTCTTTTTTTAAAAAAAAAAACAAACCTAAAACATGAGATATATCGGTGTCAGTTACATCATCTGGATTCAACCTCTGAGGCTTGAGCTGAGAGCATAAAAAAATAAATTTGCAAATTCCAAGCAGTTAAGTGCAGCAAGAGGGGACAGAACTGTCCAGAGCTTACGGTCGCTGTGGATGAACCTACCGGCAACCTTTTTTTTTATTGCTGTAAAAATAGAACAAGGGCAGTCGGTGCAGAGAAAGTAAAAAAAAGACACACACGTTTATCTTGAATACATCCGTGAAATGTTCTTGGAGAATAAAAACAGAGCCGGAAAAAGGTTCCTCTCCGGGGGGAAAAAAAACACATACATAAATTACTTTCAACTGCCTGACCCCATGATGATTAACTTTCGCTCGTAATAATCATGTATGAGGAACACCTGGCTTCATGGATGGTTACAGATCATCTAACCAAACAGCTACCCTACAGATTTAAACCACATCTAGAAAAAAACCCTGAAAGGTTGTCTTGCCTCTCTCTGTATTCTACAAGGGACGCCCTTCGATTAATGGTTTGCAGGGACCGTCCCATGAGAGAAAAGATGTATCGTCTAGAATGCTGCTAAAAGCATCACGGAAATGTAGTCTGTTAGTCGGCTAATATTTCTGTTTACGGATTACGCTACAGAGCCCTATGACACCCAAGGTTCCCCAGTGAGGACCCACAACCCTTTCAAGGAGTTCTGAACGTGGTTGACGGGTATATTGCAGCTATATTTTAAAGGCTCCGTTCTCACAAGGTTAACCCAAAGGATGGGTTGAATAAGGCAGATTTGCAGGAACAGAGAAAGTCTGTCTGACATCAAGGTTTTTTTGTTGGGGGGGGAATCTGGGTTGCTGAGGATTTTCCCCATGTCCAAGAGAAACTTCAGGCCTCTACCACCACCATTACCTCCTTTCAGCCCAAGAGGTCCCATCTCGAAAGCTGTTGTGAAAGCCACGCCAGACAGGTGAAGAAAGATGTACCTGGACTGAAGAGAGTTAAGATGGGAGAAAACAACACCACTGAGGAAGGGGGGCAACTTATCGTTTGCAGCCTGCAAGCCCCCTGGTCTCTTTTGGACCTCGTCTTCTTTCTGAGCTGCAGAAACTGATCCACAGCCTTGTACAGCACCGGTCTCATCCATCGAGTAAAATCTCACCCAACGGCTCAGCAGCAAAGCGTTGAGAAGGGGAGGCCCAACTAGTGACGCCGGCAGCATTTCAAAAGGGACCGTGTCCAGCATGGTAACCTAAAAGCAGGCAAGGAAGTGGTCCAACAGGATTCCCGTGGGACTACAAATGGCATATTTTTAAAAAAAGCCCCTAAGAACACCCTCTGATGCTTTCCAAATGTGTTAACTCTTTTCACTGATGGGAAAGGTGGGGAGGGGATATTAAGGCTAGTCTTGGGAGAGGCCAAGCTATTTATCCTACACCCTAGTTCTCTTAAAACAAGCCCCCTTCATGGCTGCCAAACCTCCCTCTCTTCCATCTTGCACAGTAATTCACTCCGACGGCCAACAGGCTCTAATTGCTTGCTTGTTACTGTTCTTTCTTGTCTTTCTTTTAAACCACACCCTCCAGTGGACCCAAAAGCGAAACAAGGTGGCCCAACAAAAGCGAGTCAGTACAAAGCACAAGGAATCGATCGATCAAACAAACAGACAAAACCCATCGATTAAAAAGAGTAGCGGATCCCCTCTTTTGTCCTCTCAGTAGTATTTCTGCTTGTTTGTTTGTTTTCTTCTTAAATAATTAAGGCAATTAATGAAACTACCAACATGCAGGCGATGGAAGGATGGGGCCTGGACATCCGAGACGGAGGAAACGCAAGAACGGCATGCGAGTGGGCGAAGATCCGACTTGTCTCTAATGGTGGGGGAGGATGGATACGGGGGACGGGGATTGGCGCAGGGAGACTCGGTGACTCTACTCGGGAAACCAACAAGGTTAAAGGTTCTAAGAAAGGGGCCTGTAGTTTGGTTCTTTGGCAGTAGTGATTTTGCTTTTAGGCTGAGAGAAACGTTCGAAAGCTGCATCCACGGGGACCATCATCGGAGAGTGCTGTTTTAGCTGATGCTGAGCTGGGCAAAACCAATCAGCTTACTATCGTCGGGGATATCAGAGCCTTCAACACCAGACGCCTGGAGGGGGAGAAAGGAGAGAGAGAAGCACGGTGAACGTCAGCTTTCTACAGAGGGGAACAGAACACAAGCTACCTGGTTTAAGCTGTTTAACGGCCTGGAATCTTGTACAAAAGGAAATCCCCGAGACAGAGGCACCAAGGACCACTTGCAATTAAAAATAAGTTATTTTCATGCCAGCAGGGAAGGAGGCTGGAGCCACTTTGATAAGACTGAGAACCATGGGTCTTCCTGCTGTGCTTTGCTACCACGGTGCAAAGCCCACCCGTTGCCCAAAGACAACAACTTCCAAGACTGAGACACTAAAGAAATGTTATCAGAATCCCCAGAAAGAACCACCATTATATACAGATCTGATTAAGAAGGGCAAATAATGGTAAATACCAGTTTGAAAGTGACCGATCGGTTCACCTGGGGCTCTTCCACAATTTTTTGTAAGTTGGCGGCAACTGAAATGACACAGAGAAGGGAAATACTCAGGTGGCATCAAGGCAACAAACTGGACCCAGTTCAGAGGAGGGCAACAAGGAGGATCAGGGGACTGGGAACCGAGCCCTGGGAAGAAAGACTGAAAGACTTGGGCACGTTTAGCCTCGAGAAAAGAAGACGGAGGGGAGATAGGATTACGCTTTTCAAATACTTTAAAGGTAGTCCTGCAGAGGAGGGGCAGGATCTGTTTTTGATCATCCCTGAGTGCAGGACATGTACTAATGGGCCCAAGCTACTGGAAATCAAATTTTGGCTGAGTATCAGGAAAAACTTCTTAACTGTTAGAGCAGTATGATAATGGAACCCATTCCCTCGAAAGGTGGTGAGCGCTCCAATGCTGGAGGCCTTCAAGAGAAAATTGAACAACCCTCTGTCAGCTCGGCTTTGATTTGGATTCCTGCTTTGAGCAAGGGGTTGGATTTGATGGCCTTGCAGGCCCCTTCCAATTCAATTTTCTAGGATGTTATCATTCCACAAGGCCAATATTGCACATAGATATACCAGCAGAAAGAAAGATTATCCGTCTTGCATCTTGGTAAGATTTTTTTTTTTACTACAGCTCCCATGCCTGGCTAGTGGATTCTGGGACTTGATGTCTAAAAAGCTTCATTCCCAAGGTCTGGTTTGATTCCTCTTTGTCCTGGAAAGGAAGATGGCAACGTGTACCCGTCAGTCCCCTGCCCCAGTACGAGGAAGATGAAGCTCTGAAGCCTTATTACCTATTACTAAGTCTCTGCCATCCACAAGTCCAGCCGAGATGAGTTCTTGTGACACCCCATCAGCGGTATCTGAAAGATCATCACGAATTAAGTGTCATCTCTACATTCAAGTAGGCTAAAATAATTTCCAGTTTAAAAGGTAAAACACACAATTCTTAGCTATTTCCATTGCCTTTCATTTCCTATTAGAAATGAATGTGCTTTCACTTTATTATAAGTCACGCTGAACCAGTGATACACAGAAAGGTGAGATGAAACAGTTCTTTTAAAGGAAAAAAGAGGCTGTAGGATCTTAAAGACACCGGCAAGCTTCCCCTCCCAGTCTAGGTGTTAAGTCAATCCATTTGGAAAGGGGAAAAAAACTTGGGCTGTGTTCACAGGAGTGAAGATCCGAGTTCAAATTAAGCCCCAAGTATTATGCCTTCCATGTTTGCGAAAACAGGAATCTCAAGGCTGTGCAATCTGAGTTCATTACAGTTGCGTGTCCTCTACCTTCTGGGCATGACAAGAGTTATGCTTGTTTCCATCAAAACTAAGCAAAACAGTGTAGCTTGCAAATAAAGTCATAGTCCTGCTTAAAAAAAAAAAAAAACGCCTGCCACTGAGGGGTGTGTGTTGTGGTCAACTTGCGGCCCTTCGGATACAACTACATCTCCCATCATTGCTCAGCACTGGCTGTGCTGACAAGGGATGATGAGAATCCCATCATCTGCCAAGGGCTGCTGTTGTAGTCGGTACCTCCCCATTCTGCTGTACTGGCTAGAGCTGATGGAAGTTGTTATGGGTATTGCAATCCTAAAACAACAACTCACCCCAATCCAGAGGGGCAGAACTTGATGCTCGTCCTTGAACTCTGAGGTTCACCTCAGAGGAAGGTAGAGGACTCTTTCTCTCCCCTGCTCTTAACACGGGCCATTTGTTCATTTAAGATGTTTGTCTCACTCAGTGGCAACTGCCCGTGGGCAGTTCCTAAATACGTATTACTCTTGTGCCTCAATTCTCCCGCTAACTAGTCCGGTTGTTTGTTTTTAAAAAATATTTCCTCCTTCTCCTTAAAAGGACTCAAGACAGCTTACATCATCAAAAGACGATACTAAAACTATCAACCGTGAGCATATAGATACTAAAAAAGATCAAACAAATGCCATATAAAAAAAACATCAAGCAACACCAAAACACAGTCAAAGCAGTAATGTATAGCAATCTATCTCAAAATCCCCCCTCTCAGGCAGCCGGTCACTGTAGGAAAGCCTGCCTGAAGAGAAAGGTCATCGCCTGCTTGCAGAAGAGCAGCCAAGATGGGGCCAGCCTGGCCTCTAGTGGGAGGGAGTTCCACAGTCTGGGAGCGGCCACAGAGAAGCAACAGAGAAGGACCTCTCCTGCGTCCCCATCAAATGTAATCTTGGGTCCCCAAGTGTTCTTGGACTACAGCTCCCAGAAATCCCAGCCATGACAGCTAGTGGGGAAGGATTCTGGGAGTTATAGTCCATGGACTTACGGGAACTCAAGGTTGGGAACGATGGCACTAGTTCTACATTCTAGGGCTCACAGACATGAAACTATGCATGTATTCAGGTAGAGTGTCTCTCCCCAACTCTTTCGGGGTTAAACACAAACCTGAGAACACAGTAACGCCAGCATGCATGCTTGCACTGAGGTTCTACATCCAGCCTCCCTCCCGACCCTTCTCACCTCTTCCTGGGGTGAATTCAAACCGAATGTCATTAAGTTCTTTTTTTGAATTCCTGTCGGGGGGGAAACAGAAAGGACATTTCTAAGTGTTTGAAACTGCCTTGGCAAATAAAAAAGCAATCAAATTAAAGACAGTTAACTATCTGGGAGCCCAGACCAGTTTAATCTAACCATAACCACGTTGCCCCTAGTTAAAATCATGCAGGATAAAAATTTGGGCATAAACAAATCCATTGAAGACGTTAAGGAGGACACAATACAGAATTCATTTTGATACATCTTGGGTCTAAATCCAACTTTAAATTCCAAGAAGGAATATACAGTACTCCATTTGAATGGGACTCTGGAGAAGTGGACACAAATGTAGACTCATGCTTCAATGAGTCCGCTGAGCACAGTCAACACTTTTGACTTAAAGTGAGCCGAACAGGATTTTTGAGATATGGGAGACACTGAAGGAGTGGTTTGCGATTGGCACCCACGGATGGAGTGAATGCAAGGCTGAATGCTACATCAATGCAAGCCCCAGGCTTCACACGGAAGGGAAGCAAAATGCCACCAAGATGGCTCCAAAGGAATACACACACTAGAGACCCCACCCAGAGATCTTCCTGAGCACCCTAGCCTTGATCATGCCTCTGATTTAGTGTTTCACCATTTGGCCTAATGTGACACACAGCCCTAAGTCGTTCACCCATAGTTAGCTATCCAAGAAATGATGGGGAAAAAACTCTTGTGTTGAAGATTGATACTGTTCTTATTGAACTGATGCGTAGAACTGAGCTTACCCATTCATTCATTCATTCATTCATTCATTCATTCATTCATTCATTCATTCATTCATTCATTCATTCATTTAATTTAATTTTATGTATGTATGTATGTATGTATGTATGTATGTATGTATGTATGTATGTATGTATGTATGCATGCATGCATGCATGCATGCATGCATGCATGCATGCATGCATGCATGCATGCATGCATGCATGCATGCATGCATGCATGCATGCATGCATGCATGCATGCATGCATGCATGCATGCATGCATGCATGCATGCATGCATGCATGCATGCATGCATGCATGCATGCATGCATGCATGCATGCATGCATGCATGCATGCATGCATGCATGCATGCATGCATGCATGCATGCATGCATGCATGCATGCATGCATGCATGCATGCATGCATGCATGCATGCATGCATGCATGCATGCATGCATGCATGCATGCATGCATGCATGCATGCATGCATGCATGCATGCATGCATGCATGCATGCATGCATGCATGCATGCATGCATGCATGCATGCATGCATGCATGCATGCATGCATGCATGCATGCATGCATGCATGCATGCATGCATGCATGCATGCATGCATGCATGCATGCATGCATGCATGCATGCATGCATGCATGCATGCATGCATGCATGCATGCATGCATGCATGCATGCATGCATGCATGCATGCATGCATGCATGCATGCATGCATGCATGCATGCATGCATGCATGCATGCATGCATGCATGCATGCATGCATGCATGCATGCATGCATGCATGCATGCATGCATGCATGCATGCATGCATGCATGCATGCATGCATGCATGCATGCATGCATGCATGCATGCATGCATGCATGCATGCATGCATGCATGCATGCATGCATGCATGCATGCATGTATGTATGTATGGGACGTGGTGGCGCTGCGGGCTAAACCGCAGAAGCCTGTGCTGCAGGGTCAGAAGACCAGCAGTCGTAAGATCGAATCCACGCGATGGAGTGAGCGCCCGTCGCTTGTCCCAGCTCCCGCCAAACTAGCGGTTCGAAAGCGTGCAAATGTGAGTAGATAAATAGGGACCACCTCGGTGGGAAGGTAACAGCGTTCCGTGTCTAAGTCGCACTGGCCATGTGACCAGGGAAGATTGTCTTCGGACAAACGCTGGCTCTATGGCTTGAAGAGCGGGATGAACACACACAAAATTATCTGGAGCCTAAAATAGACCAGAGTGGAAGAGAGACTTTAAATTGGGGTTTATATTCATGGGAGGACTTTTGAGGGCATAACTGGCCATTTTAGGCTGAAAATAATAATAATACAGTAGGACACCTGTATTTCAAGCCCCCTCACACGGATGCCAAAAACTGTAATAATGAACTAGATAGATAGATAGATAGATAGATAGATAGATAGATAGATAGATAGATAGATAGATAGATAGATAGATAGATAGATAGATAGATAGATAGATAGATAGATAGATAGATAAACAGGCAGGCAGGCAGGCAGGCAGCATGCTTCCCTCTAGTGGCCAGTTCTGATAATTACATTGTGAAAATACATAATTCTGACACTACAATTTCCACCCATGAATTAATAGTATTCCAAGCCATTTGGACAATGCTTGAAGTGGCTTATTTATACAACGTATCATTGTCAGGCACACCTGCAGAGTAGGTGAGATCCTTCCTGGCTTGCAGATGGAGAGGCTAGGCCATTGAAGGCTGCTCACAGTTTAAGATGGCATCTGTTCCAGGAATCCGCTGCTTCGCATAGGCTCAAAAACCACTTAGAAAACTGGTTCCCTTTGGCTTTCCATGTTTCTTTTTCCTTAGCTATTCAGGGTTTAAGGTTTTTGGGATCTCACTATTTATGCCTTGAGTGGGGATGGGTAGCTGGGTTATTTATTTGTTTGTTTGTTTGACTTGTATGCCGCCTGCACTCTGCAAGAGTCTCTCTCTTTTACATGTTGTTAGTCACCCAAAGTAGTGCTTCGGCACTAGATGGGCAGGGTATAAATGGAATTAATAAAATAAATAAAATTAAAAGTCTAAGATAAGCTGCTTTGAAATAGAAAGGTGTGCTTTCTCATTTGCAGGCCCTGCAGAAAACAAGGGCCCCTGTTGTAAGAAAGTAACCCGAGGATCTGTAGCTGAAAAGCGATGAGAAAGGAAAGCCTTCGGCAGCTGTGACCTACATGACCTTCCGCTCGCGCTACTTGGGCTGCTGATGAAAAAAGTCAGATGCATGCTCCTATTGTAGGATTCAAACTCGACATGACGTGCGCTTTAAGGCACCACTTCTATCCTCAAATCTTACATTTGAAGGAAGCAGTAAGGACTGTAGAAACGGGAGGATTGTTTCATTACAATCCTCCTCTTAAAATATTTGAAGGGTTGTCACACAGACATGGTCGCAAGCTAGTTTTCTGCTGCTACAGAGGGCAGGATCTGAAGCAAGGGATCCAAATTAGGAGAAAAGAAACTCAGACTAAACATTAGGAAGAATTTCCTTGAAGAAAGAGTGGTTTGAGCGTGGAATGGACTAACTCGAACGGTGGTGGACTCTCCTTCATTCAGGGTTTTTAAACAGAAAGGGGACACCTGTCTGTCAGGGACGCTTGTGAATTTCTTGTCTTGACTTTTGGTGGTCCTTCTCGATTCTCAGATCCACGTCTAAGGAAGGGTTTGAACCTCGGAAGAGATCTCAAAGCTATTTTCTTTCCTTCTAGTTCTTTGGAAGCCTCTACTCTTACCTGTGCTGCCGGAGGAGCTGCGGCGGGTGCCTGAGAAGCTGGAGGGGGAGCAGCTGGAGAAGGCTGTGCAAGTGCTTGTCCTGTTGGCTGAGGTAGTTGAGCAGGCGCCTGGGCTGGGACATTGAGCAAAGGGCCTGTGGGCTCAGCTGATGGAAAGAGCTGGGAATCAAGAGAAAGAGCGGGTTTTAGCAGGGGGAGGGGAGAAATCACCCACTCAGCATGGCATCAACCCACTCAAGACCTGCTTGCCAAAGATACTGACAAAAGGATGCATTGGTTGTTGTGGGTTTTCCAGGCTGTTTTTTGGCCATGTTCTTAAGGTTTTTCTTCCTAACGTTTTGCCAGTCTCTGTGGCTGGCATCTTCAGAGGACAGAAGCTACAACGCTGTCTGTGTCAAAGAATAGCTAATGACACCCATCAATCATGGTGACAGATCATCTCCCACTTATACACCCACAACAAAAAACACCCTGTTCACCATAATCACCCAATCTCCTGAAAAGGACAAAAGCAGATCCCACAGCTATAAATACTCAACTATCCCACAAACTGCACCAGAGCACAGAGAGAGTTCTG